ATACTTGTGCCTGCGTAATGGGCTATACTGGAAACGATTGCGAAACAGGTAAGACATTGAGTCAAAACAAATTACAAACTTTCATACATACACTTTTTATGTAAAGTAATTGCACCTTGCTCATCAAGACATTATAGATAAAGAGCGAACAAGGAAATGAAATGAAAGAAACCTTTAGTCATTGGTGAGAAAAATCTCGGAGGTTTTTCTTTATTCAGAGTCGACAGGAGTGAATGTAGAGACAAAGAAATTAGGGTGTCCCACCTGTTAGTGTAGAAATAAGGGAAACTACACTCTTAATCATCTCAAGTTGACACATGGTAAACGGAAGTGCATGGTCATTTAAAGAACAGATTTGAAATTGTGATTACCACAACAATCTTTCCCAACAATGATTTGTTTTCAAGTAAGAGCAAAAACGTTTGCTTTAGTGACCCTTTCTGTCTGGCAGGGGCACACTAAGTTTTCTGAGACGATGATATTCTTTTCATGAATATATTTTCTTGCTAAGGCCTCGATTTTGGAAAAGAGAAAAACATTTCAAGAGATATTTAGTTGATCAATTTCAATTGAATAATGTATGATTAGTTTTACAAATGAATTAATTCAAATCAAAAATGACATTATTAGCCCTTAAAATGCCGGTTTTGTTGTCTTGATTTTCCTGTTATCCGCTAAATGAAAATAAATATGTCAACAATGAAATGTTATTCTCGTCACTTTTATCCCATTTATTGTGTTTGGAACTCATTTTGCACAGATATCGACGATTGTACTCCTGACCCCTGTCAGAATGGAGGAACTTGTACTGATGGAGTGAACGACTATACTTGTGCCTGCGTACTGGGCTATACTGGAAACGATTGCGAAACAGGTAAGACATTGAGTCAAAACAAATTACAAACTTTCATACATACACTTTTTATGTAAAGTAATTGCACCTTGCTCATCAAGACATTATAGATAAAGAGCGAACTAGGAAATGAAATGAAAGAAACCTTTAGTCATTGGTGAGAAAAATCTCGGAGGTTTTTCTTTAGTCAGAGTCGACAGGAGTGAATGTAGAGACAAAGAAATTAGGGTGTCCCACCTGTTAGTGTAGAAATAAGGGAAACTACACTCTTAATCATCTCAAGTTGACACATGGTAAACGGAAGTGCATGGTCATTTAAAGAACAGATTTGAAATTGTGATTACCACAACAATCTTTCCCAATAATGATTTGTTTTCAAGTAAGAGCAAAAACGTTTGCTTTAGTGACCCTTTCTGTCTGGCAGGGGCACACTAAGTTTTCTGAGACGATGATATTCTTTTCATGAATATATTTTCTTGCTAAGGCCTCGATTTTGGAAAAGAGAAAAACATTTCAAGAGATATTTAGTTGATCAATTTCAATTGAATAATGTATGATTAGTTTTACAAATGAATTAATTCAAATCAAAAATGACATTATTAGCCCTTAAAATGCCGGTTTTGTTGTCTTGATTTTCCTGTTATCCGCTAAATGAAAATAAATATGTCAACAATGAAATGTTATTCTCGTCACTTTTATCCCATTTATTGTGTTTGGAACTCATTTTGCACAGATATCGACGATTGTACTCCTGACCCCTGTCAGAATGGAGGAACTTGTACTGATGGAGTGAACGACTATACTTGTGCCTGCGTACTGGGCTATACTGGAAACGATTGCGAAACAGGTAAGACATTGAGTCAAAACAAATTACAAACTTTCATACATACACTTTTTATGTAAAGTAATTGCACCTTGCTCATCAAGACATTATAGATAAAGAGCGAACAAGGAAATGAAATGAAAGAAAACTTTAGTCATTGGTGAGAAAAATCTCGGAGGTTTTCCTTTATTCAGAGTCGACAGGAGTGAATGTAGAGACAAAGAAATTAGGGTGTCCCACCTGTTAGTGTAGAAATAAGGGAAACTACACTCTTAATCATCTCAAGTTGACACATGGTAAACGGAAGTGCATGGTCATTTAAAGAACAGATTTGAAATTGTGATTACCACAACAATCTTTCCCAACAATGATTTGTTTTCAAGTAAGAGCAAAAACGTTTGCTTTAGTGACCCTTTCTGTCTGGCAGGGGCACACTAAGTTTTCTGAGACGATGATATTCTTTTCATGAATATATTTTCTTGCTAAGGCCTCGAATTTGGAAAAGAGAAAAACATTTCAAGAGATATTTAGTTGATCAATTTCAATTGAATAATGTATGATTAGTTTTACAAATGAATTAATTCAAATAAAAAATGACATTATTAGCCCTTAAAATGCCGGTTTTGTTGTCTTGATTTTCCTGTTATCCGCTAAATGAAAATAAATATGTCAACAATGAAATGTTATTCTCGTCACTTTTATCCCATTTATTGTGTTTGGAACTCATTTTGCACAGATATCGACGATTGTACTCCTGACCCCTGTCAGAATGGAGGAACTTGTACTGATGGAGTGAACGACTATACTTGTGCCTGCGTACTGGGCTATACTGGAAACGATTGCGAAACAGGTAAGACATTGAGTCAAAACAAATTACAAACTTTCATACATACACTTTTTATGTAAAGTAATTGCACCTTGCTCATCAAGACATTATAGATAAGGAGCGAACTAGGAAATGAAATGAAAGAAACCTTTAGTCATTGGTGAGAAAAATCTCGGAGGTTTTTCTTTAGTCAGAGTCGACAGGAGTGAATGTAGAGACAAAGAAATTAGGGTGTCCCACCTGTTAGTGTAGAAATAAGGGAAACTACACTCTTAATCATCTCAAGTTGACACATGGTAAACGGAAGTGCATGGTCATTTAAAGAACAGATTTGAAATTGTGATTACCACAACAATCTTTCCAACAATGATTTGTTTTCAAGTAAGAGCAAAAACGTTTGCTTTAGTGACCCTTTCTGTCTGGCAGGGGCACACTAAGTTTTCTGAGACGATGATATTCTTTTCATGAATATATTTTCTTGCTAAGGCCTCGATTTTGGAAAAGAGAAAAACATTTCAAGAGATATTTAGTTGATCAATTTCAATTGAATAATGTATGATTAGTTTTACAAATGAATTAATTCAAATCAAAAATGACATTATTAGCCCTTAAAATGCCGGTTTTGTTGTCTTGATTTTCCTGTTATCCGCTAAATGAAAATAAATATGTCAACAATGAAATGTTATTCTCGTCACTTTTATCCCATTTATTGTGTTTGGAACTCATTTTGCACAGATATCGACGATTGTACTCCTGACCCCTGTCAGAATGGAGGAACTTGTACTGATGGAGTGAACGACTATACTTGTGCCTGCGTACTGGGCTATACTGGAAACGATTGCGAAACAGGTAAGACATTGAGTCAAAACAAATTACAAACTTTCATACATACACTTTTTATGTAAAGTAATTGCACCTTGCTCATCAAGACATTATAGATAAAGAGCGAACAAGGAAATGAAATGAAAGAAACCTTTAGTCATTAGTGAGAAAAATTTCGCAGGTTTTTCTTTATTCAGAGTCGACAGGAGTGAATGTAGAGACAAAGATATTAGGGTGTCCCATCTGTTTGTGTAGAAATAAGGGAAACTACACTCTTAATCATCTCAAGTTGAAACATGGTAAACGGAAGTGCATGGTCATTTAAAGAACAGATTTGAAATTGTGATTAACACAACAATCTTTCCTATTAAATATATATTTTTTTTTTAAAGGAACAAAAACGTTTGCTTTAGTGACTCTTTCTGTCGGGCAGGAGCACACTAAGTTTTCTCTGACAATGATATTCTTTTCATAAATATATTTTCTTGCTAAGTCCTCGATTTTGGATTTTTTTTTATTTCTTCAAGATATATTTAGTTGATCAATTTCAATTGAATAATGTATGAATAGTTTTACAAATGAATTAATTCAAATTAAAAATGACATTATTAGCCCTTAAAATGCCAGTTTTGTTTTTTTGATTTTTCTGTTATCCGCTAAATGAAAATAAATATATCAACAATGAAATGTTATTCTCGTCACTTTTATCCCATTTATTGTGATTGGAACTCATTTTGCACAGATATCGACGATTGTAATCCTGACCCCTGTGAGAATGGAGGAACTTGTACTGATGGAGTGAACGACTATACTTGTGCCTGCGTAATGGGCTATGCTGGAAAAGATTGCGAAACAAGTAAGACATTGAGTCAAAACAAATTACAAACTTTCATACATACACTTTTTATGTAAAGTAATTGCAACTTGCTCATCAAGACATTATAGATAAAGAGCGAACAAGGAAATGAAATGAAAGAAACCTTTAGTCATTAGTGAGAAAAATCTCGCAGGTTTTCCTTTATTCAGAGTCGACAGGAGTGAATTTAGAGACCAAGATATTAGGGTGTCCTACCTGTTAGTGTAGACCTGTTAGTCATTAGTGAGAAAAATCTCGCAGGTTTTCCTTTATTCAGAGTCGACAGGAGTGAATGTAGAGACAAAGATATTAGGGTGTCCCACCTTTTTGTGTAGAAATAAGGGAAACTACACTCTTAATCATCTCCAGTTGAAACATGGTAAACGGAAGTGCATGGTCATTTAAAGAACAGATTTGAAATCGTGATTAACACAACAATCTTTCCTAACAATACTTTTTTGTTTAAATAAGAACAAAAACGTTTGCTTTACTGACCCTTTCTGTCTGGCAGGGACACACTAAGTTTTCTCTGACAATGATATTCTTTTCATGAATATATTTTCTTGCTAAGTCCTCGATTTTGGAAGAATTTTTATTTCTTCAAGATATATTTAGTTGATCAATTTTAATTGAATAATGTATGAATAGTTTTACAAATTAATTAATTCAAATTAAAAATGACATTATTAGCCCTTAAAATGCCAGTTTTTTTTTTTTTCTGTTATCCGCTAAATGAAAATAAATATATCAACAATGAAATGTTATTCTCGTCATTTTTATCCCATTTATTGTGATTGGAACTCATTTTGAACAGATATCGACGATTGTAATCCTGACCCCTGTGATAATAGAGGAACTTGTACTGATAGAGTGAACGACTATACTTGTGCCTGCGAAATGGGCTATGCTGGAAAAGATTGCGAAACAAGTAAGACATTGAGTCAAAACAAATTACAAACTTTCATACATACACTTTTTATGTAAAGTAATTGCAACTTGCTCATCAAGACATTATAGATAAAAAGCGAACAAGGAAATGAAATGAAAGAAACCTTTAGTCATTAGTGAGAAAAATTTCGCAGGTTTTTCTTTATTCAGAGTCGACAGGAGTGAATGTAGAGACAAAGATATTAGGGTGTCCCATCTGTTTGTGTAGAAATAAGGGAAACTACACTCTTAATCATCTCAAGTTAAAACATGGTAAACGGAAGTGCATGGTCATTTAAAGAACAGATTTGAAATTGTGATTAACACAACAATCTTTCCTAATATATATTTTTTTTTTAAAGGAACAAAAACGTTTGCTTTAGTGACTCTTTCTGTCGGGCAGGAGCACTCTAAGTTTTCTCTGACAATGATATTCTTTTCATGAATATATTTTCGTGCTAAGTCCTCAATTTTGGAATTTTTTTAATTTCTTCAAGATATATTTAGTTGATCAATTTCAATTGAATAATGTATGAATAGTTTTACAAATGAATTAATTCAAATTAAAAATGACATTATTAGCCCTTAAAATGCCAGTTTTTTTTTTCTGTTATCCGCTAAATGAAAATAAATATATCAACAATGAAATGTTATTCTCGTCACTTTTATCCCATTTATTGTGATTGGAACTCATTTTGAACAGATATCGACGATTGTAATCCTGACCCCTGTGAGAATAGAGGAACTTGTACTGATAGAGTGAACGACTATACTTGTGCCTGCGAAATGGGCTATGCTGGAAAAGATTGCGAAACAAGTAAGACATTGAGTCAAAACAAATTACAAACTTTCATACATACACTTTTTATGTAAAGTAATTGCAACTTGCTCATCAAGACATTATAGATAAAAAGCGAACAAGGAAATGAAATGAAAGAAACCTTTAGTCATTAGTGAGAAAAATTTCGCAGGTTTTTCTTTATTCAGAGTCGACAGGAGTGAATGTAGAGACAAAGATATTAGGGTGTCCCATCTGTTTGTGTAGAAATAAGGGAAACTACACTCTTAATCATCTCAAGTTGACACATGGTAAACGGAAGTGCATGGTCATTTAAAGAACAGATTTGAAATTGTGATTACCACAACAATCTTTCCCAATAATGATTTGTTTTCAAGTAAGAGCAAAATCGTTTGCTTTAGTGACCCTTTCTGTCTGGCAGGGGCACACTAAGTTTTCTGAGACGATGATATTCTTTTCATGAATATATTTTCTTGCTAAGGCCTCGATTTTGGAAAAGAGAAAAACATTTCAAGAGATATTTAGTTGATCAATTTCAATTGAATAATGTATGATTAGTTTTACAAATGAATTAATTCAAATCAAAAATGACATTATTAGCCCTTAAAATGCCGGTTTTGTTGTCTTGATTTTCCTGTTATCCGCTAAATGAAAATAAATATGTCAACAATGAAATGTTATTCTCGTCACTTTTATCCCATTTATTGTGTTTGGAACTCATTTTGCACAGATATCGACGATTGTACTCCTGACCCCTGTCAGAATGGAGGAACTTGTACTGATGGAGTGAACGACTATACTTGTGCCTGCGTACTGGGCTATACTGGAAACGATTGCGAAACAGGTAAGACATTGAGTCAAAACAAATTACAAACTTTCATACATACACTTTTTATGTAAAGTAATTGCACCTTGCTCATCAAGACATTATAGATAAAGAGCGAACAAGGAAATGAAATGAAAGAAAACTTTAGTCATTGGTGAGAAAAATCTCGGAGGTTTTCCTTTAGTCAGAGTCGACAGGAGTGAATGTAGAGACAAAGAAATTAGGGTGTCCCACCTGTTAGTGTAGAAATAAGGGAAACTACACTCTTAATCATCTCAAGTTGACACATGGTAAACGGAAGTGCATGGTCATTTAAAGAACAGATTTGAAATTGTGATTACCACAACAATCTTTCCCAACAATGATTTGTTTTCAAGTAAGAGCAAAAACGTTTGCTTTAGTGACCCTTTCTGTCTGGCAGGGGCACACTAAGTTTTCTGAGACGATGATATTCTTTTCATGAATATATTTTCTTGCTAAGGCCTCGAATTTGGAAAAGAGAAAAACATTTCAAGAGATATTTAGTTGATCAATTTCAATTGAATAATGTATGATTAGTTTTACAAATGAATTAATTCAAATCAAAAATGACATTATTAGCCCTTAAAATGCCGGTTTTGTTGTCTTGATTTTCCTGTTATCCGCTAAATGAAAATAAATATGTCAACAATGAAATGTTATTCTCGTCACTTTTATCCCATTTATTGTGTTTGGAACTCATTTTGCACAGATATCGACGATTGTACTCCTGACCCCTGTCAGAATGGAGGAACTTGTACTGATGGAGTGAACGACTATACTTGTGCCTGCGTACTGGGCTATACTGGAAACGATTGCGAAACAGGTAAGACATTGAGTCAAAACAAATTACAAACTTTCATACATACACTTTTTATGTAAAGTAATTGCACTTGCTCATCAAGACATTATAGATAAGGAGCGAACTAGGAAATGAAATGAAAGAAACCTTTAGTCATTGGTGAGAAAAATCTCGGAGGTTTTTCTTTAGTCAGAGTCGACAGGAGTGAATGTAGAGACAAAGAAATTAGGGTGTCCCACCTGTTAGTGTAGAAATAAGGGAAACTACACTCTTAATCATCTCAAGTTGACACATGGTAAACGGAAGTGCATGGTCATTTAAAGAACAGATTTGAAATTGTGATTACCACAACAATCTTTCCCAACAATGATTTGTTTTCAAGTAAGAGCAAAAACGTTTGCTTTAGTGACCCTTTCTGTCTGGCAGGGGCACACTAAGTTTTCTGAGACGATGATATTCTTTTCATGAATATATTTTCTTGCTAAGGCCTCGATTTTGGAAAAGAGAAAAACATTTCAAGAGATATTTAGTTGATCAATTTCAATTGAATAATGTATGATTAGTTTTACAAATGAATTAATTCAAATCAAAAATGACATTATTAGCCCTTAAAATGCCGGTTTTTTTTTGATTTTCTGTTATCCGCTAAATGAAAATAAATATGTCAACAATGAAATGTTATTCTCGTCACTTTTATCCCATTTATTGTGTTTGGAACTCATTTTGCACAGATATCGACGATTGTACTCCTGACCCCTGTCAGAATGGAGGAACTTGTACTGATGGAGTGAACGACTATACTTGTGCCTGCGTACTGGGCTATACTGGAAACGATTGCGAAACAGGTAAGACATTGAGTCAAAACAAATTACAAACTTTCATACATACACTTTTTATGTAAAGTAATTGCACCTTGCTCATCAAGACATTATAGATAAAGAGCGAACTAGGAAATGAAATGAAAGAAACCTTTAGTCATTAGTGAGAAAAATTTCGCAGGTTTTTCTTTATTCAGAGTCGACAGGAGTGAATGTAGAGACAAAGATATTAGGGTGTCCCATCTGTTTGTGTAGAAATAAGGGAAACTACACTCTTAATCATCTCAAGTTGAAACATGGTAAACGGAAGTGCATGGTCATTTAAAGAACAGATTTGAAATTGTGATTAACACAACAATCTTTCCTATTAAATATATTTTTTTTTTAAAGGAACAAAAACGTTTGCTTTAGTGACTCTTTCTGTCGGGCAGGAGCACACTAAGTTTTCTCTGACAATGATATTCTTTTCATAAATATATTTTCTTGCTAAGTCCTCGATTTTGGATTTTTTTTTATTTCTTCAAGATATATTTAGTTGATCAATTTCAATTGAATAATGTATGAATAGTTTTACAAATGAATTAATTCAAATTAAAAATGACATTATTAGCCCTTAAAATGCCAGTTTTGTTTTTTTGATTTTTCTGTTATCCGCTAAATGAAAATAAATATATCAACAATGAAATGTTATTCTCATCACTTTTATCCCATTTATTGTGATTGGAACTCATTTTGCACAGATATCGACGATTGTAATCCTGACCCCTGTGAGAATGGAGGAACTTGTACTGATGGAGTGAACGACTATACTTGTGCCTGCGTAATGGGCTATGCTGGAAAAGATTGCGAAACAAGTAAGACATTGAGTCAAAACAAATTACAAACTTTCATACATACACTTTTTATGTAAAGTAATTGCAACTTGCTCATCAAGACATTATAGATAAAGAGCGAACAAGGAAATGAAATGAAAGAAACCTTTAGTCATTAGTGAGAAAAATCTCGCAGGTTTTCCTTTATTCAGAGTCGACAGGAGTGAATTTAGAGACCAAGATATTAGGGTGTCCTACCTGTTAGTGTAGACCTGTTAGTCATTAGTGAGAAAAATCTCGCAGGTTTTCCTTTATTCAGAGTCGACAGGAGTGAATGTAGAGACAAAGATATTAGGGTGTCCCACCTTTTTGTGTAGAAATAAGGGAAACTACACTCTTAATCATCTCCAGTTGAAACATGGTAAACGGAAGTGCATGGTCATTTAAAGAACAGATTTGAAATCGTGATTAACACAACAATCTTTCCTAACAATACTTTTTTGTTTAAATAAGAACAAAAACGTTTGCTTTACTGACCCTTTCTGTCTGGCAGGGACACACTAAGTTTTCTCTGACAATGATATTCTTTTCATGAATATATTTTCTTGCTAAGTCCTCGATTTTGGAAGAATTTTTATTTCTTCAAGATATATTTAGTTGATCAATTTTAATTGAATAATGTATGAATAGTTTTACAAATTAATTAATTCAAATTAAAAATGACATTATTAGCCCTTAAAATGCCAGTTTTTTTTTTTTTCTGTTATCCGCTAAATGAAAATAAATATATCAACAATGAAATGTTATTCTCGTCATTTTTATCCCATTTATTGTGATTGGAACTCATTTTGAACAGATATCGACGATTGTAATCCTGACCCCTGTGATAATAGAGGAACTTGTACTGATAGAGTGAACGACTATACTTGTGCCTGCGAAATGGGCTATGCTGGAAAAGATTGCGAAACAAGTAAGACATTGAGTCAAAACAAATTACAAACTTTCATACATACACTTTTTATGTAAAGTAATTGCAACTTGCTCATCAAGACATTATAGATAAAAAGCGAACAAGGAAATGAAATGAAAGAAACCTTTAGTCATTAGTGAGAAAAATTTCGCAGGTTTTTCTTTATTCAGAGTCGACAGGAGTGAATGTAGAGACAAAGATATTAGGGTGTCCCATCTGTTTGTGTAGAAATAAGGGAAACTACACTCTTAATCATCTCAAGTTAAAACATGGTAAACGGAAGTGCATGGTCATTTAAAGAACAGATTTGAAATTGTGATTAACACAACAATCTTTCCTAATATATATTTTTTTTTTAAAGGAACAAAAACGTTTGCTTTAGTGACTCTTTCTGTCGGGCAGGAGCACTCTAAGTTTTCTCTGACAATGATATTCTTTTCATGAATATATTTTCGTGCTAAGTCCTCAATTTTGGAATTTTTTTAATTTCTTCAAGATATATTTAGTTGATCAATTTCAATTGAATAATGTATGAATAGTTTTACAAATGAATTAATTCAAATTAAAAATGACATTATTAGCCCATAAAATGCCAGTTTTTTTTTTCTGTTATCCGCTAAATGAAAATAAATATATCAACAATGAAATGTTATTCTCGTCACTTTTATCCCATTTATTGTGATTGGAACTCATTTTGAACAGATATCGACGATTGTAATCCTGACCCCTGTGAGAATAGAGGAACTTGTACTGATAGAGTGAACGACTATACTTGTGCCTGCGAAATGGGCTATGCTGGAAAAGATTGCGAAACAAGTAAGACATTGAGTCAAAACAAATTACAAACTTTCATACATACACTTTTTATGTAAAGTAATTGCAACTTGCTCATCAAGACATTATAGAAAAAAAAGCGAGCAAGGAAATGAAATGAAAGAAACCTTTAGTCATTAGTGAGAAAAATTTCGCAGGTTTTTCTTTATTCAGAGTCGACAGGAGTGAATGTAGAGACAAAGATATTAGGGTGTCCCATCTGTTTGTGTAGAAATAAGGGAAACTACACTCTTAATCATCTCAAGTTGAAACATGGTAAACGGAAGTGCATGGTCATTTAAAGAACAGATTTGAAATTGTGATTAACACAACAATCTTTCCTATTAAATATATATTTTTTTTTTAAAGGAACAAAAACGTTTGCTTTAGTGACCCTTTCTGTCGGGCAGGAGCACTCTAAGTTTTCTCTGACAATGATATTCTTTTCATGAATATATTTTCTTGCTAAGTCCTCGATTTTGGAAGAATTTTTATTTATTCAAGATATATTTAGTTGATCAATTTCAATTGAATAATGTATGAATACTTTTACAAATGAATTAATTCAAATTAAAAATGACATTATTAGCCCTTAAAATGCCATTTTTTTTTCTGTTATCTGCTAAATAAAAATAAATATATCAACAATGAAATGTTATTCTCGTCACTTTTATCCCATTTATTGTGATTGGAACTCATTTTGAACAGATATCGACGATTGTAATCCTGACCCCTGTGAGAATGGAGGAACTTGTACTGATAGAGTGAACGACTATACTTGTGCCTGCGAAATGGGCTATGCTGGAAAAGATTGTGAAACAAGTAAGACATTGAGTCAAAACAAATTACAAACTTTCATGCATACACTTTTTATGTAAAGTAATTGCAACTTGCTCATCAAGACATTATAGATAAAGAGCGAACAAGGAAATGAAATGAAAGAAACCTTTAGTCATTAGTGAGAAAAATTTCGCAGGTTTTTCTTTATTCAGAGTCGACAGGAGTGAATGTAGAGACAAAGATATTAGGGTGTCCCATCTGTTTGTGTAGAAATAAGGGAAACTACACTCTTAATCATCTCAAGTTGAAACATGGTAAACGGAAGTGCATGGTCATTTAAAGAACAGATTTTAAATTGTGATTAACACAACAATCTTTCCTATTAAATATTTTTTTTTTTTTAAAGGAACAAAAACGTTTGCTTTAGTGACTCTTTCTGTCGGGCAGGAGCACACTAAGTTTCTCTGACAATGATATTCTTTTCATTAATATATTTTCTTGCTAAGTCCTCGATTTTGGATTTTTTTTTATTTCTTCAAGATATATTTAGTTGATCAATTTCAATTGAATAATGTATGAATAGTTTTACAAATGAATTAATTCAAATTAAAAATGACATTATTAGCCCTTAAAATGCCAGTTTTGTTTTTTTGATTTTTCTGTTATCCGCTAAATGAAAATAAATATATCAACAATGAAATGTTATTCTCATCACTTTTATCCCATTTATTGTGATTGGAACTCATTTTGCACAGATATCGACGATTGTAATCCTGACCCCTGTGAGAATGGAGGAACTTGTACTGATGGAGTGAACGACTATACTTGTGCCTGCGTAATGGGCTATGCTGGAAAAGATTGCGAAACAAGTAAGACATTGAGTCAAAACAAATTACAAACTTTCATACATACACTTTTTATGTAAAGTAATTGCAACTTGCTCATCAAGACATTATAGATAAAGAGCGAACAAGGAAATGAAATGAAAGAAACCTTTAGTCATTAGTGAGAAAAATCTCGCAGGTTTTCCTTTATTCAGAGTCGACAGGAGTGAATTTAGAGACCAAGATATTAGGGTGTCCTACCTGTTAGTGTAGACCTGTTAGTCATTAGTGAGAAAAATCTCGCAGGTTTTCCTTTATTCAGAGTCGACAGGAGTGAATGTAGAGACAAAGATATTAGGGTGTCCCACCTTTTTGTGTAGAAATAAGGGAAACTACACTCTTAATCATCTCCAGTTGAAACATGGTAAACGGAAGTGCATGGTCATTTAAAGAACAGATTTGAAATCGTGATTAACACAACAATCTTTCCTAACAATACTTTTTTGTTTAAATAAGAACAAAAACGTTTGCTTTAGTGACCCTTTCTGTCTGGCAGGGACACACTAAGTTTTCTCTGACAATGATATTCTTTTCATGAATATATTTTCTTGCTAAGTCCTCGATTTTGGAAGAATTTTTATTTCTTCAAGATATATTTAGTTGATCAATTTTAATTGAATAATGTATGAATAGTTTTACAAATAATTAATTCAAATTAAAAATGACATTATTAGCCCTTAAAATGCCAGTTTTTTTTTTTTCTGTTATCCGCTAAATGAAAATAAATATATCAACAATGAAATGTTATTCTCGTCATTTTTATCCCATTTATTGTGATTGGAACTCATTTTGAACAGATATCGACGATTGTAATCCTGACCCCTGTGATAATAGAGGAACTTGTACTGATAGAGTGAACGACTATACTTGTGCCTGCGAAATGGGCTATGCTGGAAAAGATTGCGAAACAAGTAAGACATTGAGTCAAAACAAATTACAAACTTTCATACATACACTTTTTATGTAAAGTAATTGCAACTTGCTCATCAAGACATTATAGATAAAAAGCGAACAAGGAAATGAAATGAAAGAAACCTTTAGTCATTAGTGAGAAAAATTTCGCAGGTTTTTCTTTATTCAGAGTCGACAGGAGTGAATGTAGAGACAAAGATATTAGGGTGTCCCATCTGTTTGTGTAGAAATAAGGGAAACTACACTCTTAATCATCTCAAGTTAAAACATGGTAAACGGAAGTGCATGGTCATTTAAAGAACAGATTTGAAATTGTGATTAACACAACAATCTTTCCTAATATATATTTTTTTTTTAAAGGAACAAAAACGTTTGCTTTAGTGACTCTTTCTGTCGGGCAGGAGCACTCTAAGTTTTCTCTGACAATGATATTCTTTTCATGAATATATTTTCGTGCTAAGTCCTCAATTTTGGATTTTTTTTAATTTCTTCAAGATATATTTAGTTGATCAATTTCAATTGAATAATGTATGAATAGTTTTACAAATGAATTAATTCAAATTAAAAATGACATTATTAGCCCTTAAAATGCAAGTTTTTTTTTCTGTTATCCGCTAAATGAAAATAAATATATCAACAATGAAATGTTATTCTCGTCACTTTTATCCCATTTATTGTGATTGGAACTCATTTTGAACAGATATCGACGATTGTAATCCTGACCCCTGTGAGAATAGAGGAACTTGTACTGATAGAGTGAACGACTATACTTGTGCCTGCGAAATGGGCTATGCTGGAAAAGATTGCGAAACAAGTAAGACATTGAGTCAAAACAAATTACAAACTTTCATACATACACTTTTTATGTAAAGTAATTGCAACTTGCTCATCAAGACATTATAGATAAAAAGCGAACAAGGAAATGAAATGAAAGAAACCTTTAGTCATTAGTGAGAAAAATTTCGCAGGTTTTTCTTTATTCAGAGTCGACAGGAGTGAATGTAGAGACAAAGATATTAGGGTGTCCCATCTGTTTGTGTAGAAATAAGGGAAACTACACTCTTAATCATCTCAAGTTAAAACATGGTAAACGGAAGTGCATGGTCATTTAAAGAACAGATTTGAAATTGTGATTAACACAACAATCTTTCCTAATATATATTTTTTTTTTAAAGGAACAAAAACGTTTGCTTTAGTGACTCTTTCTGTCGGGCAGGAGCACTCTAAGTTTTCTCTGACAATGATATTCTTTTCATGAATATATTTTCGTGCTAAGTCCTCAATTTTGGAATTTTTTTAATTTCTTCAAGATATATTTAGTTGATCAATTTCAATTGAATAATGTATGAATAGTTTTACAAATGAATTAATTCAAATTAAAAATGACATTATTAGCCCTTAAAATGCAAGTTTTTTTTTCTGTTATCCGCTAAATGAAAATAAATATATCAACAATGAAATGTTATTCTCGTCACTTTTATCCCATTTATTGTGATTGGAACTCATTTTGAACAGATATCGACGATTGTAATCCTGACCCCTGTGAGAATAGAGGAACTTGTACTGATAGAGTGAACGACTATACTTGTGCCTGCGAAATGGGCTATGCTGGAAAAGATTGCGAAACAAGTAAGACATTGAGTCAAAACAAATTACAAACTTTCATACATACACTTTTTATGTAAAGTAATTGCAACTTGCTCATCAAGACATTATAGATAAAAAGCGAACAAGGAAATGAAATGAAAGAAACCTTTAGTCATTAGTGAGAAAAATTTCGCAGGTTTTTCTTTATTCAGAGTCGACAGGAGTGAATGTAGAGACAAAGATATTAGGGTGTCCTACCTGTTTGTGTAGAAATAAGGGAAACTACACTCTCAATCATCTCAAGTTAAAACATGGTAAACGGAAGTGCATGGTCTTTTAAAGAACAGATTTGAAATTGTGATTAACACAACAATCTTTCCTAATATAATTTTTTTTTTTTAAAGGAACAAAAACGTTTGCTTTAGTGACTCTTTCTGTCGGGCAGGAGCACTCTAAGTTTTCTCTGACAATAATATTCTTTTCATGAATATATTTTCGTGCTAAGTCCTCAATTTTGGAATTTTTTTAATTTCTTCAAGATATATTTAGTTGATCAATTTCAATTGAATAATGTATGAATAGTTTTACAAATAAATTAATTCAAATTAAAATTGACATTATTAGCCCTTAAAATGCCAGTTTTGTTTTTTCTGTTATCCGCTAAATGAAAATAAATATATCAACAATGAAATGTTATTCTCGTCACTTTTATCCCATTTATTGTGATTGGAACTCATTTTGCACAGATATCGACGATTGTAATCCTGACCCCTGTGAGAATGGAGGAACTTGTACTGATGGAGTGAACGACTATACTTGTGCCTGCGTAATGGGATATGCTGGAAAAGATTGCGAAACAAGTAAGACATTGAGTCAAAACAATTACAAACTTTCATACATACACTTTTTTTGTAAAGTAATTGCAACTTGCTCATCAAGACATTATAGATAAAGAGCGAACAAGGAAATGAAATGAAAGAAACCTTTAGTCATTAGTGAGAAAAATTTCGCAGGTTTTTCTTTATTCAGAGTCCACAGGAGTGAATGTAGAGACAAAGATATTAGGGTGTCCCACCTGTTTGTGTAGAAATAAGGGAAACTACACTCTTAATCATCTCAAGTTGAAACATGGTAAACAGAAGTGCATGGTCATTTAAAGAACAGATTTGAAATTGTGATTAACACAACAATCTTTCCTAATAATAATTTTTTTTTTAAAGAACAAAAACGTTTGCTTTAGTGACTCTTTCTGTCTGGCAGGGGCACACTAAGTTTTCTCTGACAATGATATTCTTTTCATGAATATATTTTCTTGCTAAGTCCTCGATTTTGGAAGAATTTTTTTTCTTCAAGATATATTTAGTTGATCAATTTCAATTGAATAATGTATGAATAGTTTTACAAATGAATTAATTCAAATTAAATATGACATTATTAGCCCTTAAAATGCCACTTTTGTTTTTTTGATTTTTCTGTTATCCGCTAAATGAAAATAAATATATCAACAATGAAATGTTATTCTCGTCACTTTTATCCCATTTATTGTGATTGGAACTCATTTTGCACAGATATCGACGATTGTAATCCTGACCCCTGTGAGAATGGAGGAACTTGTACTGATGGAGTAAACGACTATACTTGTGCCTGCGTAATGGGCTATGCTGGAAAAGATTGCGAAACAAGTAAGACATTGAGTCAAAACAAATTACAAACTTTCATACATACACTTTTTATGTAAAGTAATTGCAACTTGCTCATCAAGACATTATAGATAAAGAGCGAACAAGGAAATGAAATGAAAGAAACCTTTAGTCATTAGTGAGGAAAATTTCGGAGGTTATTCTTCATTCAGAGTCGACAGGGATCAACGTAGAAACAAAGGGTGTCCGACCTGTTAGTGCAGTTATAAGAGAAACTACACTCTTAATCATCTCAAGTTGACACATGAAAAACGGGAGTGCATGGTCATTTAAAGAAAAGATTTGAAATTGTGATTCCAATTATGATTTGTTTTTAAGCGAGAACAAAAAAATTTAAAGAGATATTTAGTTGATTCATTTCATTTGAATAATGTATAAATAGATCAGGATCGCCATCACCACTGGCATTATCACCACTGACATCATCACCATTGCCATCATCTCCACCGTCGACATCACCACCATCATGCTCACCACCATCACAATCATTATCATCATCAACCTATCAAAATATGTCATTGCTTGACTATTTATCTTATGTTCACCTTGTGTAGGTACTATTTTTGGATGAAATATGAATCTGAAAACATATCTTTTAATAAGATTGTTTTTCTTTTTGGGGGAGTATTATTTAACAGGTCTGTGTAATTTACGTTTCTTAATCAACATTCATGCTAACTTACCCAGAATAAACCAGCTCTGGTTTCTTCTGAATTGCCTAGTAAACAGACAACGGTTAACCAAAAAAAAAATATTATTAACCCTACTACTAATAATAAATGAAATAGGACTAGGAGTAAAAAATGTCTTTTTTTTAATATTTATATTTTATTTATAAACTGACTTTGACATTCATGTTGAGACCATCAGACGCATCAAATGTGTCGCTGAGAATAAAAGCATCATTAGAGTAAAAAAAATGTTAAATTGTATAAAGGTTCAGTCAGTTTTCTATTAGAGATAAAGACTAGTTATGGTCATGCGATTGCATTGTGAAAGAAACGTTGTGGAATCGATCAGAAAAGGTTGATCATCTAACATATAAGTATTGGTGTGTACTGCAAGGTTCTGGAATCATCGAAATGATAAGCAATTTGGCCTAGTCTTGGTAAAGTTACAAGGACTGTACCCAGAAAGATGTATGGGACTACGCGAAAGGTGCGCGACACGTGTGCCTATATCTATCAGGTCCAAACAGATTTAATAATTTACCCCCAAAAATATCAATTAGTAGGCGGTTTTTCGGCAAAATTTGTATCATCAAAACACATTCTTTCTCATGACTGGTAAAAAGAGCTTCCATTCCATTTTTTGAGAGGGGGGTGTTTCCAAAACTGGTCGTTACCTTTAATAAAATAAATGCTTTTTCCGTGTGAAGCTCCGGAATGCCACCTTGTAAGTATCAGAGATACAAAAATGTAATCACTTGAAATGGGGTTTTCTTTTTAAAAGAAACAAAGGCATGGAGTCCAGCATTTGTTGATCCAGGAATGTAATGGAGACTGGTGTGTGATGTATGTGTCTTTCGAGAAAAAAAAATTGTCAATGTTCCGCAAGTTTCGATGGTGCGTCAGTGTGTCTGTCAGAAAGAAAAACAAACAAATGATAAGAAGAAGGAATATAAAAGGGCTTAGTTGAAGGTATGGGGATTTGAAAAGATCTGATCAAAGTAGCTAGCCATTTATGGTACACAAAAATGCCCAAGTGGTAAAATGTAGTGTTTAACTTTGACTTTTAATGTTAATGCTGCTTTGTTCATGATCATAATACAACTCGCACAAGGGAAATGCTGCTTATTTCTATAGCTGGTTGTAAAGTTTAAGTGACCAGAAGGCAGAACCAAAGTTTGAGAATCCCTAAATTAATACAATTATTTATCACGTAATTTGTAATTCTAATAATAATATCCATATCAGCAGGTAGCCTCAGCTCAGCCCATCTCAGCTCAGGATTCCAGTTCTTTACAATTCGATCACACCCCTTGATACTTATCTAAACATGCTTGAACCCTTGGGAATATACTTATACAAGATATAAAACATATCATTTGATCTAGATTTATAATGAATAGCAATGACTAATGAGCAGTCGATTTATTTACATTGCTGTCGATTCGCGACAACAAAAACAAACAAACAAACAAGCAAACAAATATACCAGCTCCAAGAGAGAGATGAACATTTAAATATGTAGGTATGTCGATAAATTTCTTTGAAACTCATCAATTATCCGTATTTCCTGGGTCGAGACGAGTAACATCTCTGTTTACCCGAAAGCCAACACCGTCACCTGGAGCAGGTATCGCTAGCCCTTGCTCTCTCAGGCCCACCGGTTGCAGCGGCTCTGACTCGTGCTGGTAGGATCGCTGCATTTGGTCTATACCATCATCGTCGAGTTATTCCTCTTCTCCTTCTGCTTCAAGCTCTCCTACCTCCCCATCGTAATCATCATCACTTTCACTAATTCCAATGTCTATACGCAATAGTTCAATTTCCTCGTTTACACTCTACAGCCGACATTTTGATCTGAAGAGTATGCTTCGAATTTTATAAAAAGTCGAGTCGCGTGTATTTACAATGTATTATCATATGCGCGCGGGTCTAGCAGTCTGCAGTTAGATGCTTTGTGGCTAGCCGTGGACCGTATGTGACGTCACAAAAGTGACGCTCTACAAAGGACTGCTGAAGACATGAACTCTGGATCTCAAAAATAACATTTTGAGAGTTGATTACTGCGGGCCCAAAAAATATTTTAAAAAGAGAAGTTGTTGTATTGATGAGTAAGGCTTCCCCTTCGCAATGTCATGAATTTTGCATCAAATCAAAGCACTTTTGATTCTTGGAGTGACTCATTGGAGGTCACTGTATTCTTCGTTCTCTGGACTGGAATCTGCTATGCGTGACCGTCCAGGTTCCATTTTGTCTTTTTCGGGCCGTTTTGGTGGCCTTTCTTTCGCCCTATACCTATCTCCACTATCACAGAAGCTACATACTTCTTACAAAGAGGCTCTTTCATTTGAACCGTAGAAACACGTGCATCATTGCACGCACATCGTTGTGACACGATTGCATGTCTAGTTTTGTTTTTGTTTTTGTTTCCCCCTCTATTTAGGCACTATTTTTCTTTATTAACTTCTAAGACAACAATATGTTACTGTTATATACTGTTTTGGTGGCAGCACCAATAAAGCATTTGGCTTTCCTAGCTGTCTCCATATTCAGGTACATTTTTGTTTTTTTCTGTTGTAAATGTTTCTCTTTAAGTTGTACGCTATGTTTTGTATTTTATATGCTCGTTATGATGTTTTTATGATGAATGAAATAATGATCATTTCAATTCAATTCAATTAAATTGAGAATTTCCTATATGTGCATGTAAAATGCCAGTTTTTGTGTCTTAATTTTCCTGTTATCCGCCGAAAAAAAGGTCAAATATGAAATGTTATTCTCGTCACTTTTGTTCCATTTATTATCTCTGGAACTCAAATTTGCACAGATATCGACGAGTGTGCTCTTGAGCCTTGTATGCATGGAGGAACTTGTACTGACGGAGTGAACAGCTATACTTGTGCCTGCGTACTGGGCTATACTGGAAGTAGTTGCGAAACAGGTGAGACATACAGTCAAAGCAAATGACATACTTTCATACATACACTTTTTACATAAAGCAATTGCATCTAGCTCATCAAGACATTGTAGATAAAAATCGAACAAGGAAATAAAAAGTAAGAAAGCTTTAGGCATTGGTGAGGAAATTATTGGAGGTTTTTCTTAATTCAGAGTCTTCTAGAGTGAAAGAAGAAACGAAAGATATTAGGGTGTCATACCTGATGGTGCAGTAATAAGAGAAACTACACTCTTAATCATCTCAAGTAGACACAGGGGAAAAGGGAGTGCATGGTACTTTCAAGAACATAAATTGTAATTTAGCTACTTGTTTTCCTTTTCTTTCGAGTAGACATGTGGATGGTAGGAGTGCATGATCATTTAAAAAAAAACATTGATATTGTGATTCCCACAAGGATCTCTATTAATAAGACAACATTCATCGTACAATAAGAGTAACATATTTCATCCTTATCATACAGATTTAACTGTTGGACATTGGGTGTCTTCAAACTAAGACCATCCATAGGACTATTTTTCATCTCGAAATGAAGGATTTTTGCTCTCCTTTCCCTTTTTTCTTTCGGGGGCACATGAAGCTTCATTTAAAACAAATTGTATCAGGAATATGTTTGCTATTTAAGGCTAAATTATCGGAAAGAATTCGAAAATCACAAAAAATAATATTTAGTTAATTCATTTCATTTAATTTATTTTTAATGGGTTTTTATGTATAAAATAACAAATTCCTCAACTGTAATTAATTTGCATTTCGAATATTAGTTTTGACATAATTTTTGTTATCTGCACCAAAAAAATTGTCTAAATGAACATTGTTTTCTCGTAACTTTTATACATGTCTTTGTCTTTGGATCTCACTTTACACAGATATTGATGAATGTGCTAGCAATCCATGTATGAATGGAGGAAGTTGCGCTGATGAGGTCAACTACTTCACTTGTGCCTGTGTTAATGGCTCTATTGGGACTTTGTGTGGAACAAGTAAGTTTTAAAATCGAATCAGATTAAATCCCGACATAAATACACTTTTTTTAGTAATGCTTTACCTCCTTGCTCATCTAAAAGTTATAGATAAAGGTTAAAGAAAGAAAAAAACAAAAACATCAAGTAATTGCAGAGAATTTTTTTTGAAAATGTTCTTGATTCAAAGTCAACAGAACTGAACAAAATATTTGTTATATATTTTTAAGCAGTAATGAGAGAAACTACTCTTCTTTTGATTACATTGAAACAAAAAAAACCCTGATTATCATGTTTTTCAATATGCAGATACCGTTACGTTATTCAGTTGACGATGTGTATGCATATGCTCATTATTGTAAAAACTAGCAGAGCACTATGGGTTTTTAAAAGGCGACATCTTGTGATTACATTGAAAATAACCTGATTATCATGATGTTTTTTCAATATGCAGATACCGTTACGTTATTCAGTTGACGATGTGTATGCATATGCTAATTAATGTAAAAACCAGCAGAGCACTATGGGTTTTTAAAAGGCGACATCTTGTGATGGTCGCCTGTTCTTTTGGTGCGCCAGAATGCCTTATTTTGGTGGTAAGTTCATTATCATTTCGACAGTATATCCTGCCAAGAAATCAATATGATTCGACTACGGTCTCTTATACGATCCCAAGCAGGATATGCTTGCTGCATTTGTATTTTTTTTTCTCAGCTTTCCATTAATTCAATTTCTCACTACTAACCTTGGGTGCGATAGTAAAGGTGAGCGATGAAAGTAAACTTGAGTTTAAGCGTAGGGGTGCCAAGTCCAGATTCAAGAGATTATTCAATGTGGCAGAGCTACTGTTTTCTGAGATAGGGCGGAGGCACAGAATTTCTTCGAGAGGTATCATCAGAAGGCATACCAAAAAGTGCAATATGATCATGACAAGTTTACCAGGACCATCCAAGACGAGGCAGAGTATGATAGAGAAGACGTCTGGATGGAAGGTGTTCATGGTGATTTCCTGAAGTTACAGTTTATGGTCATTGACTGTGTCAATCTTGTTTATTTTTATTGAAATATATACGATCTGATGAATCAGATGGTTATTTTACTGACTGCTAAGAAAGCATTAATGCTTGTAAGGAAGCAACTAGACGGCCGACGGCTTTAGGTCGTCTCCGAGGGAACTGGTAGTGAGGATTAATATCTTTATACCAAAAGGCAATAGCGCATCGCCTTGGTTTCGAACCCGGGTCACCGGATTACGCGACCACTGCTCTACCGATTGAGCTATCGCACCTCCTCAGACCACAGGGGATTTTCGGGGTCGGATAATCTGATTATGATGTTGTCCCATCGATTTTATGACACCATCCTATTAAACTTAGTGCAAATGGCAGATAGAGTGGTAAATGTATAGCCTTTACCACAAGTCGTGTTCCTTTATTTCTGAACTCAGCTAAGCTCGGGTAGGTAAATTCCGATATGGCCGTCATCTTGAATAGAAGGTATTGTAGTTTTAAAAAACAGATACGAATACCACGATGCGCAAAATAGTGATTATTTTTAGCTGCATACAACTCACTTTCATCATCCACTGCACATAATGAATAAGCACACATCTTTCAATTCAAGTTTCGAAAAGATGTCCTCTCTTTCGTCAATGTGGTAAAACATGTGGCGCACATGATGTAATGGAAGAGGAGGTTGCTGCCTCTCTGTCCAAAATCCATGACATTAACACATCTCACCCAACTGAACACGTCAATAAACGGTTATTAAGGGCATCGATCTCAATTTAGCTATGGTCATAACCATAACAGAAAAAGAAGCCTGGTCGGCGGCGAGTTTTTAGCCAATTTCGCCCGGTTACCGAGCGGCGGCCGTCCCGGCACCGCTTGTTTTGGCGCGGAGTTAAAATACGGCGGTCACTGCTCACTTTTTAATCGCCGCCCAAAATACGCTCGGTGCCCTGGCTTTCGCCGCCCGTGCACCGAGCGTAAATCGAAGCCGGTATGTCAAAGGCTACCGAGTGGTCGCCGCCCGGTCGCCGCTGTGAGATCAGTCGGTCACTGGACGTCGAGTTAAATATCGGTCGGCAGCCGTTGACCTAGCGGCTTCGATTTTTTACCTTAATCGATCGACAGCGATCGCTTGTTTAGGTCGATGCCCGGGCGGCGATCGTCCGGGCACCGAGCGTATTTTGGTGCCCCGCCGATCATCGGCTGGCCGCCGGGCAATTTGTTTAAAATCAGCCGGTGGACGGTGGGAGACCGCTAGGGAATCGGTGAGTCAGTCGGTCAATCCTGGGACGCCGCCCTGAGAAGCTCCAAAATTTCGCCCAGTTTTGACCTAAAATCGACCGGAGACCGACGGGAAATTGACAGGGCACCACCACTCAGGCATCGCCAGGGATCTACAGCCTGCTCGACTTCTCCAAAAATCGTTTGCCTTTATAGCTATGGTCACAAACCCCCAAAGTAGCCTGCTCGGCGGCCGGGCGGCTAGTTTTTAGCGCGGAGTTAACATTCAGCAGCGCCTGCTCTCTTTTCACTGGCCGCCCAAAATACGCTTGGTGCCTGAATGGTCGCCGCCCAGGCATCGACCTAGTCGAGCGTTCGCCGTTGAGCGATTTAGGTCAAATATCGACGCCGCTAGCTCAAAAGGAGGCTGCCGAGCGGTCGCAACCCAATCGCTGCCCAGTCGTCGCTGGGAGATCATTAAGTCACTGGACGGCGAACGGCCAGGCATCGAGCGTATGTTGGTGCCCCGCCGCGCACCGGCCGGCCGCCGAGCATTTTTTTTTTAAATCAGCCAGTGGCCGGTGGGAGGCCGTTAGGGAATCGGTGGGACATCAGCCAGTGACTGCCAGGACGCCGCCCGGAGAAGCTCCCCGATTTCGCTCAGTTTTTGCCTAAATTATACGGAAATCAACAGAGCACAGCCCAGGCATTCCTGGGGCTCTACTTCTCCAAAAATCGTTGGGCGATGCCCAAATTTCCAGCAGCGAGCGAGCAGGATACAAATCGGTCGGTCGCCGACCAAAGCTTAACTAATACCAGTGGCGGATCCAGGGGCGTGGACCCTGGCGCCCCCCCCCCCCCCGGAAGGAAAGGGTGTAAAAACACGTTAATTTTACCCTTTTTTCTCTAAAGTTACAACAGTGGATTTAGCTCCTTTTGGAAATAAAAAGTGACGTAAACCGCCGCAAAGAAAGGCGGCTAAATATGTTGTTTAGTGTAAAGGAATGGCAACTGCAGGCAACGGAAGCCCTGCACTTACTATCTGGAATACTGTGTTTAAAGATACAGAAATGTGATGCGTATTACACTTTACATCATCATGTAAATACAAATCATACAGGTTTGCCGCGTCGAATCTGAACCTTTTGATTTAGGGGGCTAATTTAGACATTACCAATAGTCTTGCAATTAATATCTTAAAGGCCCGGTCACACATAGGGGACGCACGGCCAGCGCATTGAAAATTTGCAATTTTGGCAGTGCGTTGTCGTTCGCTAAGCGTGCGTCATAATTTGTTACTCGTTCGTCGAGCGCGCTGGACCAACGCTATGCATTCGTCGTCATTCGCTGTGTGCGTCAGAATTTTTTGAGCATGCTCAAAAGTGTGCGCGGAGCTCGACGCATGAATGTACACGCCAAAAGGACGCCAAACATGCGCGGAGCGCGGTAGACCAACGCCAGACATTATGTGGAGCACACATCCTGTATACGCGCAGCGCGCTAGCATCACACTATGCTTTCGGTGTCAGCTGGCTAGCTTCTCCCAAATCCTGACAAAAGTCGAGCGTCTATGTGTGACCGGGCCATTAAACAAAGGCAACGAAATTGTCATTTGTTTTGTTTACATAGTGTTCATTATACTCCATTAACGACTTTCCTTCAACGTTTAATTTGAGGCACTATAAAATATAAAGCTTCTCTCTTTCTCTAACTTTTGGGAACCAACCCCCAGTCAATAAATGTATCAGAGTATTCTTGTTACGTGACATGACTATCATCTAAATCACACATGTACATGACCAGATATTCTCCACATATATTTTTTGTTTAGCTGAGTGTGGTGATGGAACTGTTTGTCATAATGGCGGAGCATGCACAAACCCCGGACCGTGTGATTGTGTAACCGGTTTTAACGGTACTATGTGCGAGACTAGTAAGTACCCCCCCCCCCCCCCCCGAAAGAAGGAAGTAAAAATATATATGAGTATATCACCAAAAAAAATAGGGTTAAGGAGTTTATAGTAAAATATATATATATATATATATATATATATATATATATATATATTGTTGTGTTATTCTTAATTACTGAATAAGAGAGTAATTTGGCTTTCTTTTTCTGGTTGATTGAAAACAAATAGTGATTTGCATAATTTGGAAGATTAGGGATTTTTTAAATTTATTATTATTATTATTATTTTTTTTTTTTTTGGGGGGGAGTAACATTTTGGCGTTTCCATTGTTAATGTATGTCTTCATTTTATCTTTCTGCTACACAAATTTGCTGTATCAAATACTTTGTGGATGGGCTTAGATCATATGTTTGTCTAATTGGCCATTAAGCTAGAAATTTTAATTGATATATGATTACTATTTTTAAACGGATACAGATATTGATGATTGTTCTACTACTCCCTGTATGAATGGTGGAGTTTGTGTTGATGAAGTGAATTCCTTCACGTGTAACTGTGCTGCTGGCTATAAAGGAGATACATGTCAAACAGGTTTGTCACAAAGTTGAATTTGTCTTCAGTATTTTTTTTTTTTATTCCAGAACATTATTTTGGATGAAGGTTGTGAACCTTTTTTCATAATACATACTACATTTTCAAGTTGGTGTTTTAAACAAATATATATGGAGTCAAATGCGTTTGTGTGTGCGTGTGTGTGTGTGGTTGCGTGTATGTGTGTGCGTATTTGTGTGTGCGTGTGTGTGTGTCTGTGTCAGTCTGACTGCCATTATTCAATGCACTGTTTTATTCCTCACCCAGTAACTTGGCGCAAGTGAGATCTGGCAGTCATGTAAAGATTGTCTGATGTTCAGTTATGCATGCAGAGATTGAAATGAAAATGGTACCTAAATGTATTGGGAGGATAATTTAATCAAGGCATATCATGAAACCCATGATTAAATATTCATACTTCAAACAATACAACTTTTAAAAAATGGGACATTTTTTCTGACCCACCCTGTATAAATGCTACCTGTCCTGTCAATAGCGGTGCCTCCCTCTAGATGAAAATGTGTGTTAATATAGAGCTTGTCTAGAAAGGACACCTGCTTACATTGGCCACTTAATTGTTTTGCTTCAATTTGATATAATCTAAAGACAGGTTTGACTGTATTCAGGTCATTCTTATAATTTCTGCAAGATTACAATCACAGCAAGGATTTACCGCTTCGTACATTAAACGGGAAATAATTCATTGAATATCATTTAAAATTTGCAATTGCATTAAAAACACGTTATTGTACTGTTAATTAAGATTTATCATAGGGTACGATCAGAGTGGTATATTTCATCCTCATCAAGGTGAAACTGGGACTGACATCCTGATCATAGCGATTCAACTTTTGGCGCTATGGTGTCTTGAAACTCAGACCATTTATAGAACATTTCTGCGTCCATGTTCAAAGTTATTCAAACCCAAAATGAAAAATCCCTTGACAGATTTTTTTTAATTATTTGACAGGAACACAGTAAAATTTTTGAGACAATGCTCGTTGATCATCAAGAAATTATAGATAAACATAAATATTAAAAAATATATATATAGATAAAGAGCTAACTAGAAAATCAAAGGTGCTAAACATGAAATCAATGGAAGGGAAGATCTTTGAAGTTGTTTTCCTAATTCAGAGTCAACAGAAATGAAAGAACAAACAAACGGTTCCAGGGTGTTTTAGGCTTTAGTTCTCTCTCTCTCTCTATATAAGTGCCATATCGATTGACTTTGGCGATCATGCTGTTCCACAACCCTCGGTTCCTAGCCTTCTGTATTAGTACCACTCCCAGTTCTGTCACTCCTCTCTCTTCCAACAATTTCTGCAGACTGTCCATCCAAAGTATCCTCCTTCTTCCCATACTCCTTCTTCCCACAAGTTCTTTGGCTTTAGTTCAGTATTGATAAAAACTACACACCTTTTGATTTCGAGTAGACCCTTGCAACATGGCAGTACATATTAAAGTAGATATGGAGCTGTTTTCCTTCTACTGTCTATACCCTTTCAATAAAATAACGATGAAATAATTTGATAAGTTATCAGAACTAATGTGAACTATTGATATATATCTTTGAAATGAACAGTTCTGTGCGATCTATCGAATTGCCAAAATGGTGGGACATGTACCCCTTTTGGACATCCTTGTAATTGCCCACCTGGTTTTACGGGAGACCTTTGCGAGAACGGTAAGTTGTGTCATGTGTTTATCAATGGTTAATCCTCAAAGAATGTTGGTTCAGACAAAAGGTTCGATGATTATAATGATAATAACAAACTTTTAATCCAATATATTTTGTTATTTTTTTTATTTATTTTTTAAAAATTTATTTATTTATATATTTTTTTTTTAATTTTTTTTTAAATTTTTTTTTAAATATTTTTTTATTATTATTATTTATTTATTTATTTATTTTATTTATTTATTTATTTATTTATTTTTTTTTTTTTTTGGGGGGGGGGTTATGCTCCCTTTTACTACTTCTCCCTGGACATATATATATGATTATAATTACAGTTTAAAAAGAAAAAAATGTAAGGTAACTCTCCTTTCTTTGCACAGTCACAAATGATTTCCCGTACATGTATATTTGTCTGGTCTTGTTTTTCATAATCGCATATTTCTTTTTTTTGTCCAGCTCCTCAAAGATTGTCAAACGGAGCCATCATTATTCTTGCTTTGGGGTTATTCGGTTTTGTTCTCATCTTCTTCAGCTTGGTCTGCTGCGTTTTTGTTCAAGGTGTCAGACGAAATCAAGCAGCGAAACTAATGCTCGCGTGAGTATTACGATAAACTTACAAATGAGCAAGTCCAACCTATTATTTCCCATAATGTACTGACCACATCTATGATTGCACTCCTTAATAAGGACAATCACTCCCCGAAAATTAACCCCAAGGAAAGCCATCCGCGAGGACAATTACCAACGTAAATTTACCCCATATGAGATTTCCCCCCCCCCTCCAACCCCGTGGACAATAACCCTCAAAAGACAAATATTCACCCACACCTGAAACTTACCCCCTAGGACAAGTACACCTCCCCCATGTTCATTAAAGGGAAAGTCCACCCTGGAGATAAGTTGGTTATATAACGATAATTTTTGTTCGGGGGTGTAAATGTCTTCGGGAGGGGGGAAGGGTGATTGTCCAAGGAAATTAATTTCCCGCTGGTAATTAGCCGGGGGTTACTGCCCAGGGGAATAATTTCCAAGAATCAATTTCAGTATATACGACGACTGTAGCAAGATGATAGCTCTACTAGAGCTTGAATCAGACTAAACATAAAATTAAATGGTACTTTTATGTTGACAATTCCATGGTGACAATGCCATAATACAATTCAGTAATACTTGGTCAATGGTGGGGCATACATGTATTTTGGACCTGCCTAACGAGTACCAAGGGGTATCATGCCGAGTGGTATAACTCCATTTTATCACGGTGTATGCATGATTGTTAGACATTCTGCATAGAATTCGAGGACGTTCCCAGATAAGTCATTGTTCGTTAACATCCCCAGAAAAAATATTCGAGAAAAAAAGCTGTCTTTATGAAAGAACAAGAACATTTCAAGAAATGGGGACATAATTTCATGATGTTTGCAAACATGATAATGTATAAGTGTATGTTCATGTGTATGTTTATGTGTATGTTTGCAAAAAAGTGGCACTTTTTTGCATAAAGTGGACTCGATAATAAAAAAGAAAGGATGGCACCTTCATTTAGGCAAAAACGATCAACTTCAAGTACCCACCCCCCCCCCCCCTCCGGAATACTCCCTTGTTCATTAAAGGGGAAATCCACCCTTATGATAAGTTCTTAATGCAAGAACATTTTTTTGATAGGGGGTAAAGTGTCCTCATAGGAGGGGGTGATTGTCCATAGAGGGTTATTTTCGAAGGGGTAATTGTCCTCAGGCGGTAATTGTCCCCGGGGTTATCCTAGGGGGTAATTTTGCAGGGCTGGTTGTCCTCGGGGCGATTGTCCTGGGGGGGGGGGGGGTAATTTACCGGGGGTGATTGACCAGGGGGTAATCGTCCAAAAACCAAATTCATCCTTATACCTATATGTCTATCTACGTATATATCAATCCAGCTGCCTATCTATCTACCTATCTATCAAAATGTCTACCTCTATATATGTAACTATAGATCTGTGTCCCTTTCTCTTTCCCTTTATCTACCTACTCATCTGTATATCTATCTACATATCTAACAATCCATATACATGTACCTATCAAACTGTCTACCTCTATATATGTAACTATAGATCTGTGTCTCTTTCTCTTTCCCTTTATCTACCTACTCATCTTTGTATCTATCTACATATCTAACAATCCATATACCTATCAATCAAACTGTCTACCTCTATAAATGTAACTTTAGATCTGTGTCTCTTTCTCTTTCCCTTTATCTACCTACTCATCTTTGTATCTATCTACATATAAACAATCCATATACCTATTAATCAAACTGTCTACCTCTATAAATGTAACTTTAGATCTGTGTCTCTTTCTCTTTCCCTTTATCTACCTACTCATCTGTATATCTATCTACATATCTAACAATCCATATACCAATCTATCAAACTGTCTACCTCTATATATAGCTATTTGTTTAAATGAATGTATATATATATATATATATATATATATAGAGAGAGAGAGAGAGAGGGAGAGAGGGAGGACGAGAAAGAGCTTTTAATTGTTGTATACATGGATACCTCTTTCATGTGAACTAGTTTTGGTTTGGGTTTTTATTTCGACTTGGTGATATTATATCCTTTGTATCGGCTGATTTGTAATCATTATGTTTAGTATGAGATGAAGTGAACCACTTTATTGACCAATCACAGTTCTCACGCATGGTCGCCTGTTTCAGCATTTTTTGTAAATGTTGTGAAGATATTGTTCATAGTTCTTAAATGTAACAAAATATATAACAAAGTTATTTTTTCTTCTTCAGTGAGGCGCAGTATGACTATTCAATTTGCCGAAACAGAGGTGTCTACGTAAACGATTCTTTGAAGGGTTCTGGGGACTACGAGTCCATTCAAGAACGCCGGTATGCTGTTTGCCAAACATTGGATCGACTGCGAGAAACTAATGCACTGGTATAAACAGTTTCCTTGTCGATGTGTTTTAACTTCTTATAACTTTTTATATACCACAGAAATAATCTCCCTGTTCGATATCATAATGGCATTTATCATGTAATAGATAAACCAAAGGCTTTCAATAATATACCCAAATATGAACAATATGCAGGATTCAAACACCAGCACTTCGCTATCTTTCTCTTATAGTACAAAGTGTTGTGTACACAAGTTTTTGAAAATTCTTTAAATTTTTTAACGTCACCATCTGCTTGCTTTAAACAATTTCACTTATTGAATTTATTGGAAAATGAAAAGGTGTTTTATTTTAGCCTCTTACGTGTCTGTTCCCCGTTTGTTCACCACTGTTTCATATAATAGGGGGAAAAGATCCTAAATACAATATGTAACTTTCTCAACAACAAAAAAACCTCATCATTAAAAATCACCAATGCATAGAGGGGCACTTAGAGCTATGGCACTGCTTGAAATATCCGTAGAAAATGTCAATATGTGAATACCCATACGAAATTATATGTAGCTGTACACTTAATAATTACATTGACTATACCTGTTAACTAATCTTTTCAATTGATACAGTTTCTTCTCCCCACATTATCAGCCATTTCATTCACCTGCTAATAGTTGCATCTCTATGAATGGGATCCACTTTGCTTTAATACATTCTTTTTTGCTATGTCGGATAATCCTCTTTTACTTTTGAGAAGTTAAGATAGATATTTGTTCAAATAGCATGCATACCATTAGTAAACGGGTCTATTGAATGTTTAATTTGTGTGTGTGATTTATTGTTCATGAAACATGATGATGATGCTAAAACAAAGCACTTTTATGGCGCCATTTATCTGCTTTAAACATTGAAAAGGCGTCCGTTCTACCAAAAGTTATGAATTACACATTGTCTTCAAAAGATAGGATTAGTGAGCACTAATTTTTATTTTTGTTTTGGCCCCCGAAAATTAGAACAAATCTCACCGGCAACATGTCCGAAGCGTTGTCTCTGGCGGCTCGTTAACGGGGAATATGGTGGGCGTGCGGTTGCGCATCTGAACCCTGGGAAGGTGATGTATTGGGGTGGGGCATGCACGAATGTGGCGTTTTTTTAGTTTTCGATGGCTGCGTAGTTTAGGTTATAAACTAGCAAATAATAAGTAGATACATAGATTTATACTGTAAATAATACAAATCAGCTATGATTTTCCTGTTTACACATACTCACAATAATAGTAACAACAATAGTAATAATAGCTAGGTCTTACATAGCGCTTGTCAGGACCAAAGGCCCTCTTAAAGCGCTTCACATATATATATATATATTATTACCCAGGTCATCGGATCCAGGCTTACCCGCAAACAATGTGCGCACATTCTCCACTCCATGGGGAGCATTCCAGCCAGGTGTCATTTTTACAGGCGCCCACTTGCTTATCTAAGCACATTAGCTTTCGCATCCTACCGGGTACCCATTTATCACCTTGGTGGAGAGTGGCAAATGTAGATCAATGTATTGGCAATGGACAATGCTTATCCAACGGCAGTGATTGTTACATCCTGCCTGGTACCCATTTAGTACCTGGGTAGAAATTAGTAAATATGCATCAATTCCCTCGGCCCTTGGATTGGGATCATTTGAATGAACCAATAAACTACGACACCTCCACTTTGACATTAAGTCTCAGGAAAATGAGCTAATTCCAGTCTTAATATACTGAAGTTCCCTAGACATACATGTACACAGTGGCGGATCCAGGGGAGGGGGGGGGCGGCGGGGGGTCAGCCCCCTCCCCCGGAAAAGATTTTTTTTTTTTTTTTTTTTTTTGGGGGGGGGGTGCAAATTTTCAAATTTTCGAGGGCCAAACAAAAAATGCTCACTACTCCCCCCTCCCCCTCCCCCCCATGTAATAAAAATATATCAACACATTATGAGCTTTAAATATATTACTACTGTAAAGAGATTTTGCAAGTAAAAATTACACTCTATTAATATCAGAGCATTTTGTGAGTAGACTTTTCACGGCAACCATCGCACTCGCTTAAAATACGGCTCGCACCACAAAACTGAAGTCCAACTTTTGTTCCGTGAGCACTTTTGCATGTCATCCTTTGTTATCTTCTTTATATTCAATAATTCTGTTATTCATTAACCCACAGAATGCCATAGAATGCCCTTTTCTGTTTTTCAAGGTTGGTTTTATACGTTCTAGCAGTACATAATGTTTTCCTTTAGGTGATTGGTACACGTTAATATAATTTCATATGTATTTTCTTTCAAACTTTGATTTTTCTTTTCATCTATTTCTTTTCATTACAGAACAACAGTGTGGATCAATTTCTAGTCCATTATTGATCATCAAGAAATAACCTACGGATTAAGAAGGAATATGACAACGGAATTCGGATGAAAAGAATATAGTGAATTAGTTGAATACTTATAATAGAAAGATTGGTTCTCTGTTAAATAGGCTAACGGTTGACTGATTGAATTGATGTAATCATGCTAAACTCACATCAGCAAGTCTCTGTTAGAAACATAAAACTAATGAAATAAAAATTAATTTAAATATAAATATATAAAATAATTGAATATAATTTACTGTATATGTGAGTGTATAATGGCTGCATTATTAATCTAAAAAGCGTTCTATATCATCATTCATATATTATTCATCAAGTAACTGATATTCATTTTCTCCAAATATATAGAAACACATGATCCATAAACTATAATCTAAAGATCTGATTTCTACGTCATGTTTTCAGTGTGGCCAAATTTCAAGTGTTTGGAATAGTACAAATCTAGTTTTCTATAGTTAATGTTCAAATGCTTATGTTAATGGAAGTATAACACCCCCTTTTCTCTCTCTCTCTTTCTCTCTCTTTATGTATATATATATTAGATGAGTACACTTTTTAATGGATTTGTTTTTGGTATAAATATATGAGCACTGCATATGAAAAAAGGTATTAAATACACAACATGATGTGATCATATGTGGTAAATCCAGCGCGCTAAAACAATACAACCAGTATCGTTGAATTTTTCCTTTATGAAAATAAAAATAAGAATGTTTACCTTTGGCACTTTTACCTCAAACATTTTTGCCAGGCACCAAAATAACCCCCTTCCCCCACCCTTCCCTCTCCCTCTCCTCCACCACCATCACCACCACCAGGAAATAAAGCAATTAAAGGATTTTGTAGCTAGGACTTTTTCTTCTGCTTATTATTAAACGGATAGGCTTAGTATATGAACATTGTAAACACCACTTGTTTTGTAACGTTCCGCTAAAATAGTGAAGCCAAAATGACTTTGGTTGGGAACAAACGAAAAAAGTGTACGTCTGATGTATTTAAATAAAGCAGGCATCACATTTGGGTCATTGCCATTTGAAAAAATGAAGATTTTTTTTTCTTAACATGTAATATATATTTTGTTTATTTTATATATCTTCATTTCCCTCCAAAGCAATTCATTATACAGTACTAGTGTTACCCCTTATAAGTCTTTCATTATTTTAACAAGGCTCCATGTTTTTATATATATTCTTGTTGATATGATATATTTGTTTACATAGGATCACGAAACACTAAAATAAATATTCCAGTAGGGAAGACCGCTGCATACTTAATTGAGTCAATGTGTAATTCATGAAGTATATTTCATTATCATCAACATCATCATCATCGTCATCATTTGTTATTGTTTATCATTTACTTATTATCATTAGTATCACATTATTGTTATCAAAATTATCCTTATGTTTTGTTCAAGATCATTGTAAAAGGTACTAGACTATGTCCCATTTGCAGGCCCGAAAAGTGTTAGCTTCCAACTGCATTTGAAGAAAAAAACTGATTTAGAACTTCCTTCAAAACGAAAGGACCTGAAAATGGCTGTTAGTGGGAAAATAATGACTATTAGTTGTCGAATCGACTGAAGTGATTACAGTCGCCTAAGTAATAGTCTGGTTTTAAGACCCTTTTACCGAATGGCCGTACGTTTTGTGCTGCACACAGATTCAATCAGTTTAATTTTGGCTATTACAAGTAGTGGGTTATTGAAATAGACAAACGATCACGTACCTGTTACAGCTCATTTTATGTTTGTTAATACCAACGAAAAAAAGATGTCAGTCAGTCACTTAATAGTGACTGACGGCGAAGCTTGGGTAAACGGGTTTCCTTGCATAATTTGAATACCTGGAGCGGTATTCTGAACATTGTTGTAAATTTTGTGTTATCTTTTGTTGTATCTTCCAGAGATAACACAGCGCTAATATTGTTGTAAGTTGGTATTCTGAACATTGTTTTATCCCTGTGTTATCTCTTGAAGGACCGCCTCTATCTTATCTTTGACCATTGATGACACGCCCATTTTTTGTGGACCCTACCAATCAAAATCTATTTTATATAAGCATGATAAGTAGGTCAACCACTAGAAATACTTTATGCCATATCTGAAGATGCGCCTAGCGCATATTAATCTTGGGCGTAATTAGTTATTTGAGCACTTATTACGCGCGTCATCATTATGCGCTGTTGAATGTGGATCATGAAGACAAATCACGCTTTCACTATATTGGTTAAGATGAGAGCATTAAAATCGTCATATCCTAGCATGTAATATCTTAGAAAGTTCTCATCTGTGATGTTTCCGGTCAACAAACAATCTTCTTCTAACTCGTCTATTGGCACTAAGTTGGTTCTGGGCAAAAAATATTGCCGCCATTATATCACCACGAAAGATACAACCCCCTACCCGTTGTAAATATTGTTGTAAATACCATGCGAGATAAGATAAGATAAAAGATACAACTTTCAGAATACCAATTATCTCGACATATTATCTCCCGTGCGCATATGCAAATGAGGATTAAATGCCACTCTATTAATAATACGCACAATTACAAGCGCACCAAAGTATGAGCGCAGGCGCGGCCAATAAGATGAGAGAAAAGATACAACAAAAGATAACACAAAAGTTACAACAATGTTCAGAATACCAACTTTATCTTATCTTCAAAGATACAACAGTATTAGAGATAACACAGGGTTCAGAATACCGCCCCAGGAAACTGCTAATGTTTAAATTTAACAGATAGGACATACATGACACATTCATAATTCCTGCAAAGTTCTACAGAATTCGATGTTGGCTGCAAAAGGAACATGTATCTTTAAGAGAGTAATCGTTGTGCAAGTATGTGTGTGTGTGTGTGTGTGTATACATGATACGTGCGTGCGTGGGAGGATAGGTGGGTGACGAAGACAATCATAGGGCTGTACCTTCACTTTGACAACCACGCGCGAAACGAGGATGTCATCGGTTCCAGACTTTTAACATCAGATGGTCCCTTTTATAGGGGATACGTTTATTTAGGTTCTCTATTTGCTTGGAAAAGGTCGATCCTCGGTTATGCAGTACATTTACAGATCTTTCTAGGGATGTTATATTCCTAGAAACAAGTGTATTTTCGAACATGTACTGTAATAGGATACCGATGTGTACCATCGAGTCTTCGATTTACACCAAAAACGCGCATGAGCGTAAACATGCGAAGACATGGGCGCTCTAGCCATATCAAGTTAACATTGAGCGACCCCGCCTTTTGGCTTTTGTCTTGTATGATCTACCTTCTTTAGTTAGGTTAGGTCTATTGTTAAGCACGCGATGGGTCAGAGCAGTGACTTGTTTTGTTTTACCCGGATGCTTCAAGTCGATGTGCTAGTGCTAGTGCTAGTGCCATTTACCATGGTCCCTCTTAGAAGAATTAAAGCCGTCGGACCTACGCTACATACTTCAATGCGTAAACATGCCTTCAAATAAAAGGGGCACCTCTTAAATTGGAATAGGGCAATTGTCATAGGTGAAGAGGGAACTTTCAAAAGTTAAAAGAAGCACTTACTTGGAAATAAAAGGGCATTTATGAGAATGAAAAATGGACATGTGTCTAAATTAAAATGGCACTCATCAGAGGTAAACAAGGGAAAGCGGCACTTTTCCTATGTAAAAAGGAGCACTCGTGAGGAACTTGGAAAGTGGGAGGCACTCTGTGCCCCCCCCCCCTCCCACACCAAGGTGTCTCTAGATGCGCGAGTAGACAGGACGCGATAAATAAGGCGGGCATGCATATAGGCTGACATCTTTAACGTCACTACCAATCTCTTCCCAGGAAGCATTTTATATTACGACTGGTACAAATATACTTTTTCTTTTTTTCAAGTAATATTTTATTTGGTACTCAAAACAATACAGTGCGTCCCAGAAAAAAAAAACGAAACCAAGACTTATTAATGTTTTATCATAACTTCATCACTCTAAAAATGATAAATAACACATATTTGTAAACTTCAGATCCTCTTCTTTCATTTGATGCAACTCAAGACTGGGGGGGGGGGGGGGTGGGACCAAGGTGTCGCTAGTTGCGCGAGTAGACAGGCGTGCATAGACCAGGGGCGGCCGCACAGAAACGTTGTTAACGCAAACAGCGTGCTAACAGTACCGATAGGGCTGTTTTGGCCGCACATAAGCGTAATGTTAGTTGAATTCACAAACAGCGCCGTTAGCCTAACATTTCAAGGCCGCGCAGAAGCCAACAGTAGTGGTAATGTTTTAACAACTCACTAACAGTGCCAGCGGCACCAATAGTGACAATGTTAGTGAATAATTTCTTGCGTGCGCTATAACTTTCTCCCTTTTTTATCATTCTATCACTTTCTCTTTCTGTCTTTCCTTATGTTATCCTTTGTGTCTTCCTTCCATCATCTTTTCTTATGTTATTCTTTGTTTTTATCTTTCTATACATTTCTCTTTCTGTCTTTTCTAATGTTATTCTTTGTTTTTTCCTTCTTTCACCTTCTTGGTATTCTTTGGGTTTTTAAATCATTATATCACTTTCTCTTTCCGTCTTTCCTTATTTTATCCTTTGTTTGGGGTAGAATTAGCTTCTGTCGAGTTTCATTGTACTGAGCAAATTGTTGATAAGTCTATGCAATCATGAAAGACAATACCCACCCACTTCATTTATTTTATTCATTTAATTGTTCTGGTATCCGACTTCGCCCCACCCCAACCCGGCTTTCACGATTCAGATATTCATTTGTACCAGACTCTGTTCATAAATTCAACTCACAGGTTAAACGTTAAACTTCTGAAACTCATGATTTGAAGTACATGTACCAATGACCATTTTTTTTCGATTACCTTTTGCATGTATTTGTTCCTTGAGATGTATTTATTTCTTGTGATTACATATTTTGTTGAATATGACTGTAACGCCAGTGGAAAACAATTTTATATGTAACTTGTTTGCAAAGACCAAATAAAATATCTTGTATCTTGTATCTTGTATCTTGTTTCTTGTTTCTTCCTTCCATCATCTTCTCTTATGTTATTCTTTTTTTAAAGGTAATACAAAGTTTTGGGAAACTTTGGAAATTTGGCGGATAGTAATTCTTTACAATTTTGATATATTTGGATGCCCCTGTGGTGTTATAAGCACTAGAAAATTTAGCCCCTAAAACACTTCTGCTTTTGAGAAAAATTGAATATAAAAATTTAACGGTGCTCCCGGTAAATTTTGATAAATTTCAAATAGCGC